GAGAGAGAGAGAGAGAGAGAGAGAGGAGAGAGAGAGAGTGGTCATGGGCAGATATGCAGAGACCACCCAAACAAGGATGATGAGAACAACGCCTTCTTTGATATTCTGGAGATATTTTGTGGGTTTTAAAAATCTTGTAGAACTTCCATCTGAGTATATATTATTCTGTTGATTGGGGTTGGTGGAACTGGAGATGAAATAAGATTCTAATTTGGTTTTTTTCTTTTGTAGGAAATGATCTGGGTTTGTTACATTATAGTTATTGAACAACGATGAATAAGAGAAAAGTTTAAGGGTTCTTGAGGAATTCATATCTGCATTGTTCACTTTTTCTGAAGAAGAAAGATATATGACCATTAGTGCGTCTTTTAGGGGAGACACGTGCAAATCACGTGTAAAATTCATCAATATTTAACGGACGTTTCTTATTGGACCAACTATGCAACACATTTTAAAAGCATGAGGAAACAATTGCCCCAAAATTTTTTTTTAAGGACTGATTTGCTAAATTCGTAAAGTTTAAAGGGGATGGGTGCAAAAAAAAAACCAAAAACTAATTAGTAACTGTTCAATCTTTATCAAGTTTTTGTTAAATTTTTATCTTTATCTTTATTATTATTATTATTATTATTATTAATATATATATGACGATTCAAATTAACATAGTACCATACCATATCTTTTTCATACAAAAAGTTCCTCCTTATTTATGGACAATACCATAACAAAGTAAAGAAAAATTTACTTACCACATGAACCTTGGTTCTTTGCAGGAGTCACAGCTCCTCTCTTTCTCCAATCCACAGACTTTGGCAAATCCACTACATCCTTGTAACTGAGTTTTTCATGGGAATTATCTCTGATTCTAGGCCCCATTCATTTCACTTATTCGAGTTTAGAATTTGAGTTTTACTACAGTAAAAAGCTCTCAGAAACAATCACATCCAACTTTTTTACTACAGTAAAAAGCTCTCACATAAAGTCACATATAAACTCGAATTAAAAACTCGAATCAATAAACTAAATAGGCCCTTATTCTTGAATTCTTCGTGGCTCAAGTCGGCAAACTCATTCAATCCCAGCCAATAGTTACTGATCTTCTTATTCGTCTGGTCTATATGCCTCAGGTTATTCTTAAAGATCTTGAACTTCTGCATCTTTTCTTCGAGATCCTCATAAATTTTGCCGTGTTTCGCCATCCATGATTCGAAATCCCGACAAGAGGACAATTGCAAATTAGAGGCCAAAAGAGACATGGAACAAGCGAGCATGATATTGACAATATTCTTCGGAAGTAATGAGGAGGGAGACATTTTTGTTATATACTGAAGAAGAAAATTAGAATGTGACGGAAGGGGAATTGAGATGTGGTTACAATATTTATACTACTACACATTACAATATTTAATTTCATGTACACAATATACATTGATCTATTTGCTTCCAAGAAAAGGTTTGAGACTTTTAAGCTTTGGTTCTTTAATTTTTGATGGCTTTGAATCTAAGCAAACGGTCATAGGCCTCGACAAAAGTGGTCATGATGATCAAGATGTGGTGCTTGCAAATACATGCATGAGTACTGTCAAATTAGAATGAGAATTCTGAGATCATGGAGGACGAATTCAAGGAATATAGTGTTTGTGTATGTGTGTAGAAGTACCATTTAAGTCCAATATAAATGAGAAATATATATATATAGTTTCTATTTCATAGAGAAACAAGTGGTCCCTTTTTCAGGAATTACTCTTTTTGTAAGAAAAAACAATAATATAGTAGTTAGCAGGTGTTACTCCTTTTGTTTAACTTTGTTTGTTGACAATAAACAGATAAAATCTAGAGATAGAGAGGAGTTGGATTCGCAAAGTGGCGTATGAACGTGGAAACAATATTGAAGTCAATCGGGCACAATGCATACAAAATTAATATTACTTTCAGAGTGCTCAATCAATGCAGTGTTGCCGATCAGATGTTCAATTGAATCCAGACATGCTATAAATAGTTTTGGTGCAAATACATGCATATATATATATATATTTTGGACTAATGAAAAAATCTTGTACATATTGCTGATGGTTTCCAATTAATAATATCAATATTGAGACCATATATTATTCATTTACCCAAACCTAGACTCTGAAATGCACGTTACCTTTTTAGTTCTTTGGTACGTGGAATATTCTTGCCAAAGAACATAAATATTTACTTATTTAGGGATGTAAAGTCTAAGCAAATATTATATTATCCGATGCAGCGACATTAAATAGATAATTAAACTCGGATGGTTTGGCATTGTTTTTTTAGCTTCAAAAAGTTATTTGCTCATAACACCATGCAAAATTGTATGTTTAAAAGCTTAAAATTACACAGAAACCAATGCCTTTTTACGGTCATTATTTGGAGAAGTTAGGATTTATCTTGTGAGAACTTTTATGGTATAAATCGTCCTTTTTAATAATCAGTAAATGATGTTTTAGTTATTTAATTAGATTTGTTTTTTCAATTATCCAATCTAGGAATGAGAATAATTTTGTATCGCTGTAAATTTTTAACGTAAACACTAATAAATCAAACGTTCGAAGAATTAATCTAAATATTAAACCAACAATTCATACTAATAGCTCAAAAAAGAATATTCCTACCGTAAAAATTTTCTTTTTTAACTTTTATTTGTTACTTGTTGTACTTCTCCTCTTCGTTGCAGGTAAAAATAAAACTTCTTTCAAAAAATATTGAAATCCCAAACTAAGCCAAAACAGCATAGATATTCGTAAAAGTGTGTGTTGTAATGAATTTTGGGGAATAAGATCCCATGACAAGAAGCGCATGCAGAAGAACCCATGGAAGTGGTAATACCAGAGGCAATCGTGTGAAGAAAAAGGCAAAAACAGTTAGCAGATTGGTCGTTTAAGGATCGAATTAATTAGCTGCATACCAGAGACACAGACAGACAGTGATCTTTGTGTTGGATTTGATGCCAATGCGTGTGATACATCATATCACATTATGATCACACACACACACACACATATATATGGATTTCTTCCTCTTTAAGGTTTCAAAATTGCAGCACGAACTAATAATAATATGGTCAGTAGTAATTCAGTACGTACGTAGTTATAATCATGTTGCACACACATATATAATTCTACATTATGTGATCACCAAAATCAATTTCGCAACTGATGAATTCGGCTGTTCTGGGCCTGCTCCTCACCTACCTATATACACATTATTTCATCCACACACATATGTAGATATATAGGTATAGATATAGTCTACAGATATATCGAATGCTAATCCAAATTTAACATCTACAAACTCACCCTAAAGGTCTATTATTATCCTACTTCTCTGGCTATCTAGGTTTTTTTTTTCACCTGCTGAAAGCTAAATACATATATACGTGCACAGATATACATATAATATTCTGTGTAGTTAATAGGGCCCCTCAAGCAAGCAGCTCATGTGCCTGCGACAGTGTGGCCGAGTAGTCCTGTCACACTTAGCTAGCAACCTATGAATGCCAGTCCTCGCACGTGCGCCTATCATTCTCCTTTATAATATAATTTAAATTTAAACTTAACTTTAACAAACTAAATGTTATTGTACATAGAGCCAGCCCCCCCTCTACAACTACAGACTACGAAGTTCTAGTGACTAATGATAACTGTAGTATCTACCCATTATCCATGCAAGCGAAATGAAGCATCAGAAGTTTATGTAAGATGATGATGTAATAATTAATCAAACTCACCTTATTATTATTATTATTATTATCATTTTTTTTAAAAAGATAAGAGGAGAGGAACAGGAAACGTGTGAGCTTTTTTAAAAATATATATATATATATTTTACCTTCGAATTTTGCCCCAGATCTTTTATAATAACAAAAATTCGGTCGGTTCTATTGAAACCAACGAATAGTGGGAATATTTAATGGTTTTATAAAGACTAATTTATTAAAGGGGGAACAAAAGTCATGATACATAGTAAATGTTCGTTGCTCTCTTGTAGACGTGAATTAATAGCTCAAACGATTAAATGGCATATGGTTGTGATATGTATTATATCTTTGACCTCTACGAGTTGCCTTTCGTGAGTTTGAAGCTACGTTAAATATGTAAATGCATGCGTAACGTATGGCATGGATATTAGGTTGCTATATTATGGTAAAGACACTTCAGCAAGAAAAATCATTGATATTTGTAAAATGGTAGCTTGTATTGGTGTGATTTTGAATAATGGGACAGACCCTCTGCCCTTAAGACACTCCACCACATGTGAGTGTGTGTGTGTGTGTATATATATATATACACATGTGTGTGCATGTGTGTGTATATATATATATATATATATAGTCTTATTAGTAGTAGGGAGGTCGAAAGAGTAGGTCGGTGGTGGCAGGGCCGTCCCAGAACACTGAACACCCCTCCGCTCATTTATTATTGTTTTATTTGTGACCACAGTACAGACCTACTAACTTTCCTATATTTATAGACTTACCCCACCAGCTAGCCGGAATTACATTTCATTCGCCCTCAAGGCTCAAACACTATTAATTTCCCATTCCCTATCTAGTGAAACTCCCTTTTTGGGCCTAAAGGACACAGTACAGTTGGATACGGTCCAAGTCCAAGGTCTCCGGTACATTCATTGGCAAATGTATGGGGCAACACCATTTACATCATATATCGTTGTAGAAAGTCGTGATTAGATTCAGGTCTCGTTCATTTCACCGATTTGAGTTTTCAGTTTTAAGTTTTTACAGTAAAAAGTTCTCATAAAATGTCACATTTAAATTTTTTTGCTACAGTAAAAAGCTCTCAGAAAATATCACATCTCAGCTCGAATTGAATTAAAAACGTGTTTAGTTCACTCACTCGAGTTTTTAATTCGAGTTGAGATGTAATTTTATGTGAGAACTTTTTACTGTATTAAAAAAGTTAGATATAACTGTTTCTGAGAGCTTTTTACTGTTGCAAAACTTAAAATGCATATAGGCTACACACTAAGAAGGAATTCTCTGCTCTCCAATTTATGACAAGCAACTCTGGAGTGGGACAGGGGGCTCCTCGAGTTGTTGACTGCAACCGTTAAGATTTCAAATGTGTTTGGTTCGAGAGGGAGATGGGATACATTCCTATATCCCCAAACACAACATAAAACGGAGACGTCAACAAGGGGATGTGTTTTGTATTGGACCGGATATCAAGGGAAAATTCTTGTACGACAACGGCACGCCAACTCTACAAACGCCATTTGACTTAAATCATATGGTTGAAGTCATTGCTTTCACAATGCGGTGTCCCTACTCTCTATGGTAGATTTCCATATTTTTATTAAAAATGTATCTTTTGGATATTATTAAAACAGGCACCTCGTAGTTTTCTAAAAAATTGCTATCAACGAGCAATTTTTTTTTTCTTTTAATGCTTTTAAGAAATTAATTTGGAGATAATGAAAAAAAAGAGAAAAGGATAAATTTTACATCTCATTATATATATATATATATATACTAATTTTGTAATTTGCTTCGTACGTATTGTCGTGTTAAAGACACTTAGAGCCTGTTTGGTTGGAAGATTTGTTCTCTGATTCGAATCATGATTCATGGTTCGTTACAGTATTTTCTCTCATAAAAGTACACGTAACTAAAAAATGATTCTAATCTCATGGTTCTAATTCATGAACTAAATGGGCTCTAAGGAGTTTATTAATTACTGAATAATGAGAAATTTATTTATAAGATTTTTTAATTTATTTTAAAAAAGAATGTGTATAAAAATAATAATTGACAAAAACACATTTAAATAAAATTATTTTAACTAATTATAAATAAAATAAAAACACGTGCGAAAAAAATTACTCTCATCAAGAAACAATATATTTTTAAAAAACACACAAAAAATTAAAATGTAAAAGAATTTATAAAAAAAGATAAAAAAGGAAAAAAAAAGAATAAAGTTGAAGGACCGTCACGTAATAATTTTATAAAAAAAAGTTTTTATTCTTTATGTATTGTTAGATATGTTTAAAAAAACTATAGGATATCTTTACAATATTACCAAAATAGTAAGATATCTTTTCAGTAGTGAACATGAAATTGGTGGGGTTGGAGAGTGAGGTTCTACTGGTGTCTCCTGTCCGTTTGACAGAATGATTAAAGGAGTTTCTAATCTTTTTTATTATTATTATTTTTATTTTTTAACATATGTAGGACTCTTTCAGACTCGAACGTTTGGCGCCTCTTGTAAAGATGCCCGTCTCAGGTCCTTCCCAATTATCTGCTGTGCTCAAATAAAGATAAATTAGCATTTCAATAAAATAAAATAAAAAGAGTTTTTACGGTCTAGTGGCATCATATTTTTATCATAATTTTATGTGAGGCCTTGTAAAATTTCAATATGTATGAAGTTGTGGAGATTTATGATTAAAAATAATCATTTCTATTATTGCTCCACAGATTTCTAAAAAATAGTGATATAATCAAAGTTTTGCTGCATCCCTACCAGAGGCAAAAAAAAAAAAAAAAAAAAAAAAAAAAAAAAAAAAAGAAGAAGAAGAAAGAAAATCATGCAAAAGATTGCAAATGGGGTTTATGCAGTAGTATTATTGGAGGGTGCAAATATCGAGGTAATCAATGACCTAAGAGCCAGGGGAAAGGCGTACGACCACTATAAAGACATTGTGGCATCACATTTCACATATCCGTAGGAGCCTTAGAGTAGTACCAGGCCTACCCTTCTTACTACTGCATGATTTTCTTTTTTATCAACTTTTTTTTTTTTTGGTTTTTTGGGAAAAAAAAGTAAGAAATTAAAATTACTGGAGCAAAAGGCTGATATATGGATTAGGTAATTATTTGCAGGTGCTAATTAGTAAAAGCAGTATAGGTAGGCCTATGTAAGCTTAAGTGGCCGTTATTAATCTTATATTACTACTTGTCTGAGGTCACTAACATCTAGATCGCAGACGCTTTTAGCGTCTCAAAAATCAAACCAAACCAAACAACAACAAAAAATTGTAATTTTCATTTGAAAAAAATAAAAAAGTAAACACAATAAGGAGAAAAAAGCCCCGGATTCAGAAACGAAGACGATGAAATCTGATTTCTTGTGGGTAAATAATAGTGCACGTGCAACGCCGACGCAGTTTTTTATTGCGCACACAAATTTTCCCCTGGCTCTGCCCATGTCAAGAAACAAGCCAAAATGCTCCAAAATATCTTTGGTGTGATCTACAGAATCGTATAATATGGACAATATGTGTGATCTTAATAATGCACCTTATTATTCAACCTATCTACGTAGGAAGTTTTCTTTTCTTTTCTTTTCTTTTTTGTTTTTTTTCACCGACCCTTCACCTTACATATACTAGGCTTTTTTTTTCTTCTTCTTCTTATAAAGCAAAGTCATCAATCATTCCATATTTATCAAAATTCATTAAATTATCGTATTTTGTTTCTAAGCCATGTATAAATTTTTATGTGATCCGACACTTAAGAAATGTCTCTTATCGTGTTATCATGAACATCAACTTTTATACATGAGAACATAAAAAATCAATCGAAGAAACTTTTTGTACATGTGGACTATGTTAGTATTGTAGCGTTTTAAAACGTCATATTATCATTTGGTTTCATCAGTAGTTTTGTGTGTGTACGTTATATATATTCATTTTTACATGATTTTGACTGGATTCTAGTATAGAAACATGCACGTAAGACCGTAAAAAGTTGTGAGAAAAAGGGAAAACACAAGGTTGAGGTGGTTTTAAACATGAATCCTAATGTCGGCACGGTAATTCGTATTTCAATGGACCACTCTAGTGAGAAAAGTGTCATATATATATATAATATATGTATATATATAACATATAATGGTCACGGGATCGATCATTGTATAATATATAAACAATAACGTATGTACTTAGCTCCCACCTAATTAATTATTATTTTGATCGATTTCGAAGAGCTTGCATTTCATGATTGGTTCTATTTAATTAGGTTTTTTTTCTCAATATCCCGCACACTACTACTTCTCATTAGACGTTATTACTACGTGGGTTATAATATATACAATAGCTCATCAGAAGAGAACAATCACTATGATCAATAATTCTCAATCAGTTTATTATTATTATTATTATTATTTTGAATCCTTCTCGTACGTTGTTTTTTTTTTCTCTATAAACGTGAAAAAAATATTATCATCACCATATTAATTGAAACCTAGTAGTTTTTTTTTTTTTTTTTTTTTTTTTTTTTTTTGGATGAAACAGTTTCATTTCACTGAGACTTGCGTAGTAATTATGTTTTCATGTCTCAAAGGGGGGTTTATAGTAAGCAAGCTGCTAGCATATATATATATATATATATATATATATATATGGGCTTATATTTCTTTTCCCATACAAGCAAGAGGCATTTGGTGATTTCTACCAAAAAAAAAAAAAGAAAAAAGAGAGATTGAGGCATTTGAAGATATTATCATATTACACCATGTGAGTTATTAATACATGTATTGCTACATTGCCAAGGGATCGGATGGGAGACATTGGGAGATATAAAACTTTATGGGAATTTTTTTTACCGCTTTATTTATTACACATTGTCACTTTCTCATATGTTTTTGGAAGTATATATGTAATAAAATAAAATAAAATGAATATATAAGTTCGAGTTAATTGGTAAATTACTCACTATTCACGAGCCCGTCCAAGAAAAACACGGAAAAGAGAGATGGAGAGACAGAACAAATTAAAGGGAAAGTCTAGAATGCTCAACAGAAATGAATGCAGATACGAATGACTTTATTAGAAAAAATCAAATTCCTATGTAAAATCAGCTGGTGTTAATTAGAATTAAAGGAGGAAATACGTATAATATTGAATAATCAAAATGTCAGGTAAGTGTACTACTAAATAGACGAAAGACAGACAGAAAAGGAATAAGGATTAGGTAACTGTGATATCACTGTAGAGAGGCTACCTTAATGTCATCCCTATATCTGAAAAAGAGAAATGCTAAGGTCAAGAATAGGCCTCTATTACTTCTATTTTGTTTGCCATTTTTTATAATGGTTGACTGTCTTACTATTTGGGTTTCGTTGAGACAATTTTTTTTATTTTTGCTTATTTTCTTAGGCGTGTGTCTTAGGTTTTCTATTTGTACTGGTTTTTGGTTTTTGTTGGCCTTGGATGAAGTAATTCTTATTGATAAAACAAAAGTGTAGCAGTGAAACAATGGCATTCTTTGTGAATAAGTGACAAACAAAAGGATAGAGTTTGGATTTTCTTTTGTTTTTGAAAACTGGAGAGCCAAAGTGGCAAAAAGAGAAATTAGAGAGTGGTAAAAGAGTGACTTTAGTATTTCTAATCTAAAAAACTTGACTTTTTTTATTTATTTTTTTACTCTCTATCTCTCTAGAGTCTAGAGAATCAAGATATAATATGCTCACACACGCACGCATACATCTCTGCAAAATCAACTTTTGCATTTACTACAACACACCTTCCCCACTTCTCTAATCTCTCCTCTCCTTTGAAGTTTTGATTTGATCAAAGTAATATATCTCTCTTTTATTTTCTTCTAAACTTTTTTTTTGGGTTAAAAATAAAAAGGAAAAAAAAGAAGAAATTGCCAGCTCCGGAATCCTTTTGCTGTGTGCAGTTTGATCAGTAGGCCCCCACATTATTAACCCAAAAAAAAAGAGGAAAAAAAAAAAACTTGCCTCTTCTCCATATATAATATATAACCCCTGACCTTTTAAAACAATATTCTTAATTTTATAATTTACTCAATATATAACTAGTACTTCTTCGGTTTCAGTGCTTTATAACTTGGCCAGCTTCATTCTTGGCTTCTTCTACATATTTGAGCTTAAACCCACTTCCCTTTCCTTCCTTATTATAAAGCTAGCCCTTTCTTGCCTTTCTCTAATTTGTTGCTTTCACTTTCTTCCCTGAGAAAAGAAAAGAAAAGAAAATATCATGTTGGCAATAGAAGAAGTTCTAAGAGAGCTGAGTGGGGAAGACGTAAATGAGCAGGGATTGCCACCAGGGTTCAGGTTTCACCCAACAGATGAGGAGCTCATAACCTTTTATTTGGCTTCCAAAGTCTACAATGGTTCTTTTTGTGGCGTCGACATTGCTGAGGTTGACCTTAACAGATGTGAGCCTTGGGAGCTCCCAGGTATATAACTACCTTTTTTATTTTTATTTTCCTATTATACATCGTTTATATTATTATTTCCCCTTTCTTATTCTTACAATTCATTAACTCCGTTTATTTCACAATTATACATGCAATTTTATAAGTTTTCTTTTTTTTTTTGCCCCCTCCTAACTGTCAAGAGAGTATACTCATGCATAACCCCATATTAAAACCTATCTTAGGATTCTCCTTATGTTATTTTTCTTCTCTTTTTTAGATAATAATAATTATACTTTGAAAACGAGGTTAGGAGAGGTAATAAATAGCTAGCATGGCTGCACGTTTATCATTTCTTTTTTATTTATTTTGAAATAGAGTCACAAGTAATCCAAAACCCAATTTTTTTTTTTTTCATTTCATTTCATTTTGATACGTTTTTCATCTCATTCTCTCATGGTACCAGGGACATATATGTATACTCTCGTTTAAGTAAATTTGTATTCCCAAATAATCCAAGCACTGCAAATCTTTGAGACTTGAAAAAGGTCGTACTACTTAACTTATAAGGAGGCCGCTAGAAAAACAAGGTCTGTTGGGATTAACAGTTTGCTAGATTCTCTCAGTGGAGTAAACTTGGAGTCATAAATATATACATGCCCTTAATGCATCAGTAGTCCTCCCAACCATACAATTTCAGAAATCCGAAATTCTTTTTTTTTATTCCTCACTGCAAACTCCTGACAAATTAAATCTTAAATCTTTTAATATATAGATTTGAGGGCATGAAAGGGAGAGAGCATATATATATATATATATATATATATAGGAGTTAATGTTGTTTGTTGTCGTTGTTGGGACAACTTAGCTTTGTTGCTTGTCACTCTTGGTTTTTGGCCAATTTTGGCTTGTGTCATCACTCATCAGGCAGGGCAGACAGATTTATCAATTTCCAAGAAATGAACTGTTGTTATATACATAAAATACATATGTACATATTATATGCATATCTTCATGTGTCTAATATATTCGAATGTTTATGAACCTTTGTTATTAAATGACAATCTTTTGTCCGGAAACTTTAGATGCGGCGAAGATGGGGGAGAGAGAGTGGTACTTCTTCAGCCTAAGAGACAGGAAGTACCCAACGGGGTTAAGGACTAATAGAGCAACGGGGGCTGGTTATTGGAAGGCGACTGGGAAAGACAGAGAAGTTTACAGTGCGTCAAGTGGAGCCCTACTTGGCATGAAGAAGACTCTTGTTTTCTACAAAGGCAGAGCCCCACGGGGTGAGAAGACCAAGTGGGTCATGCATGAATACCGCCTCGATGGTGACTTCTCTTCTCGTCACACGTGCAAGGTACCCCCCCTCTTTGGCTCTTTCTTTTCTTTTGGGCCCCACATCACACGTGCCACCTACGTGAGAATCAAGCTAGCTCTTCTCCTTCTTATTGTTTTGTCGTTTTGTGGGTTGACTTATTATGCACGTCGTGTCTCTTGTGTGTGTGTGTGTGTGTGCGCAAAATATTGTGCATCCGACTAGACCATTTTCACTCCCCTGCTTAATTATTATTTTATATTACTAGTTTTGATGTGATGGGGTTGATTTAACAAGATCATGTCAAATCAATATTTGCATTTTTCAACTATATATATATATGTATTAATAATTTGATGACATCAATTTTGGCAGGAGGAATGGGTGATATGCAGAATATATCACAAAACTGGGGACAAGAAAAACCCACTATTCCAAGGAAGGCAAAGCAGCAGCAGCAGCTACCTCCTAGAAGCATTGCCTGCGCTGATGGAAACCACTCCTCCAACTAGTATTACTAATTGTACTGCTACTAATAATAATACTAATACTAATAGTAGTAGTACTAATAACAATAACAGTACTAACATTAGCGCTAATATTTCATCAGTATTAATGTTGGAATGCCAAACTCAAAACCCAATGCAAGGCCTCCTCCAAAACCACCCTTTATTTCTGAATCATGTTAATGTCCATCAACAAGAAAATCATGACCAACTGATCAAAAGCCTCAATATCGCAATGAACAACAACCCAGTTCCAGTTCATCATCATTTGTCCCAACTCAACTTCCCTATAAATCATCATGAGTTAATCCAACCTAATTCCTTTTCAGTTTCACCCACCACAACCACAATTACTACAAGTAGCGCATCAAACAAGTACGCAAACAACAACAACATCAACCCATCAGCAGCAGCAGCAGCAGCAGCGTCACCATCAGCCTTCCAATCGATGCTGTTCAAGTCGCTTCTCTCAAATCAAGATTGCACTTCCAAACAACAACATGAGACTACTGTTCCAAAACAGTGCAAGACTGAGGCAGACTTTTCCCATTTCCAACCAATATCGCCTTTGCCTTTGTCAAACCCATTTCACTATCATCAACATCAAGATCACTATAAAAACCCATACCCACAACCACAACCACAACCGTTGCTTTTTGATGATCAGAATATGCATGATGATGATAATGATAATCATGATTATGGTGTCTTGGGGTTTTCATCTGCTCTTCATGACATGTCCACTTCACTTGCTTTTAACAGGGCCGGTTTTCAGTCCATGTTAGATCCTTCTCTAACCAAACTCCCTGCTGGAGGAGAATCCTGGCCTCTCGATGCTTAAAGAGATGTCTTCTAATTTTCGTCAGTGTACTTTCTTTCTTTTTTTTAACCTTTAAAGTATTTCTCATCTTCATGTATACATATTATATATAATTAATATATAGCTATCAGCCAGTCCCTAACGTCTGTAATGTGTATGTATCGTACGTGCGTAGCCACCGTATATATGTTCTAGCTATATTCCTCTTAAGCCTACTTATGAACTTTAACTTTTCCAATTCAAGTTGAGATACTGATCAGATGCTGATTTTGATCAGTCGTACAAATGAATTTATATATAAATGTCTATTATTATCATGTGTTGTCTATACATATATGTATAATTAATTGCATGATATTCGAATCTCAAATTCACTTTCATTTGGACGACAATATGCTTTCCAAACAGAAAGATATACTTTCAAGATTCTGTTATGGTGGTTAATGTCAAGCTAATTTTTTGGCTACTAAAATTCCAGGTTTATGTATAATTAAGTATACTTCCCGAAATTTGAAATGTGTACATTGATCATCTTTCACTCATTGATGATGAAAAGATAAAATCTAACCGATTGAAAAAAAAAAAAACTGAAGAACAAAATCGATTAAAGTCTGATTTAATGTTGGATGTTGTAGCCTCGCTCTTCATTTTTTGTCCCAAACAAAGAAGTATTCGCTCAATGACTTGTGTCCGTATATATTGTCCCGAATCAGTTTTTGACAACTTTTTATGACATTGCCATGGCCCATCTCTGTATGGTGTCTATTAATTAGTAGTTTCGATGGTGGTGGACATTTAGACACATGACAAACTGTGTAAGTGGAAAAGTATATATATATATACACACACATACATGAGTTTATGCACGTAGTAGAATGTATAGATGAAGATTCAGTCACGGGTTAACTCTGACATGCATGGTTGAGCTGATATATCTGATAAAAGGCAAAGGTAGGCAACCATCTAAAGATCGTTAATCATGGCACCGCTTTTACAACCATGTAATGACAGAAAAAAATAAAAAAAAGGTAGTACGACGTGGGAGGGACATGAAAAAGAAATCAGTGTTTTGGATTGAGATTCCTTCAATCTTTTTACAATCACAACTATTTCCCAAGCAAGCCTTCATCGAGAACAGAGTTAAGCCAGGGGGCAGCAGCAGACTTACCCCCCTCCCTCCTCCATAGCTTTTTAGTTTGGCCGTAACGCGCTTTCTGCCTTTCCCACATCATGTTTTTAACGTTTCCTTCTTTGTCAACTGTACACATTTATAAGCTATTTGGATTCCAAGCAAAAAACCCCATCAACTAATCAAAAGATCCCAAATCAAAACACTCAGTTTTCTTCTTCCTAATTACACTCGTCATGCAAAATCTCATAGCCTCAAAAACCTACATGATCAGGTTAGAAGCCTCCTCGCGAGCCATTCTACCCTCTAAGCTTGTCTCCTACAGCTCCATTTTCATCTACTTCAAAAGTTGATGAATATTTTTATATGGCCATGTATGATGTATGTTCAAGCTACAAGCAGATAGTCTTGAATTTCAGTGTCATTACTACTTACTAGTCAGCAATCTCTATCTGCAGGTTCAATCTCTCAGGAATATAATAGCACTAAATTTGAGCAACTCATTGCTCCCCTCAGCCACACAAAAAGAATAACGTTCATCTTCTTATCTCTTACTTACTCTCTCGGTAAATGGAAGAAGAATATTGCGCCGAATTTCCCAACTTACACAGCATATGGCCAGGCCATGGCCAACAGCTATATCACTTTTTTGAGTTCAGACTACTTTACAGAAAAAAGCTGAAAGTGTATCACTGTGAAAACAAGAGAAATCTGAGAACAGGGTAAAGTACAAATGATTGTCTAACCCAAGAAATTCAAAGCGATATGCATTTTGGATAGGATCAGTGACACAATCTTTTTATTGAAATCTTTTCAAAGATCTCCAGCTAAATATTGTTCAAAGAGCAATTCGACTTGCGGATACACATTACATTCAGCAAACATTAGACCACAATATTTATTACATACCAAAAAAACTCAAAAGACAGCTTTAACATCCATAACCAATGCAATCAAGATGCCCCGGCCCTGCACGAAAAAAGAACAAATAAAAAAATATATGAGATTATTAAGTTAATTAGAACTCCATACATACACACATTCAAATACGAACTGAGTCGACAGGAGGTACTTGCATATCAGAGGAAAAATGACGGTTTTCCAAATTCAAAATAAAACATATCAAAAGATTGGATTCTTGAACATTCTGTAACTGCTTAATTACGTGCTTTAAAGTAGTGCACTATTTACTCTGTTATCCAAGTCTGTATGTATATGTATATTATATTCCATATAATACAAGTGACTAAGTGAGTGGTTCAATATGATATGAATAATATTTGTTCTAAGATTTCAGTGATTCCTATTTCATTCAGAGGCGAAACCACTAGCTCGGAAGCGGTTTAACAATTAAAAAGATTGGATTTTTAGTTAAGAATAACATTGTTCTAAGATTTCAATGATTCCCATTTCACTCAGAGGCGAAACCACTAATTTGGAAGCGGTTTAACAATTAAAAAGATTGGATTTTGGGTTAAACTAAAAGCAAGTAGACATAAATTCATATTCATCTTAGAGGTTGATGCAGCAAAAGCAGATGTAAAATGATCAAAATTTGTTGAATAATTAATCAAATACGATTATGATAAATCAACTTCGAAACCATAGAATAGCAAGTAGTTAAACCTAAATCTGGATTTCCACGAGAAAAAGCAATACAGTATCGAAATCAAAGAATGAAGGATAGGAATTTAGAATGAATTAGAGAAGAAAAATAAAAACCCTAAAAACCTTTTAATGGGTGGATTTGGAGGGGGAGTGGGCCCACTGCCTGGCGAAATCGGGAGGAGAGTAGATGAGAGAGGCGAGCATGGTGCCGGGAAGAATCGTGTACACCGACACCACCGCCAGCTTCCGTACAAGTGGCTCTCCCTTTAAAATCGCCTTCATTTTCTTCTTCTTCTTCTTCGATTTCAATTCTCAGATCAGATTTCTCCTCTTCTTAGGCTTTACACGGCGAAGCAGAAGCAGAAGCAGAGGCGTTTTTGCTCTTCTTCAGACTTTTGCGCCGCCGCTCCTCCTAACGGGCTGGGCTGGGTTGGCCTGGCCTGGGCCCTCTTTCTGGATGTCAGTCTGGCCTTTTCGTTGGGTTTGGGCTTACAAAATAATGAGCGGGGGCGGCGGGGAAGAGGAACAGGGCTGTTTAGTCTTTCGAGAATTGTGATAAGAAAAAATGGAGAATTTATTTTGAGTCTTGAGATTGTACGTGTCTGAACACCATTTATTCTTAATAAATAATTTTTTAATAGTGTAATTATTTGATTAAAAAAGTTATGAATTAAAATTATAAAGTAAAAATCTTGATCTATGTATTTTTAAAGAGTATTTATCAAGATTATTTCATGTGTTAAATAACAGATTTATGAAACTAAATTTAATAAATAACATATTTTAAAACTATTTAATGTAAATAATAATTTACACCATAAATTATTTATTGACGATTAGTAAAAATATTTTTTTCACTTAAATTTTTTTTTTACCATTGGTAAAATTTTTTTCTATGAAAATAAAGATCTTTTACCATGTAAATTATTTTTTATCAGTTATAATAATTTATTTATTTACCATTTAAACTGTTATTTACTTTAAATAATTTTAAAATATGTTATTTACCTTAAATAATTTTAAAATCTATTATTTACTTAATTTAATTTTTAAAAACTGTTATTTACTATGATTTCCCCTAGTCTTTGCACATATAGCAAAAGTTTAAATATAGCTGAATTTTTAAAATATTTTTTCTAGGCAAAACTTTTTAAAATATTTTAAGAAATAGCAAAAATATGATATCACTAAAATGATGATTATCTAAAATTTAAAAAGCCCACACAATTCTTTGAATATATATATATATACACTATATTTTTCCAAATTTGGTTTTATGAAAGATTATCATAAATAATTTTACTTTTCTTTTCTTTGTGGCTAAGATCTTTCCATTAAATGACTTTTTTATTTCTGTCTCATTTCCATTTGAATGACTTGAAATCACTAATTATTTACATTTAAACTGTGAGTGTGAGCTTTCTTTTCTAATCTCAACATACATAAAAGAGCTAAAAGAGTTCTCTTTTATTTTGACATGTGGCATTACAGAGAAGGCTTCTTATTATTTTTTTTTTCGATACATGGGATTACCTTTTAGTCTTTTTTTTCTTATTTTTTTTTAACGTTTTGATGATTCTCTACTCAATTTTTTCCCTTAAATATGACCCTTATAATTTTTTTTCATATTATTTTATTGAAATCAAATCTTCTAAAATGTTTCTCTCCCTAAATATTTTTTCTTTATAACCATCTCAAAAACTATTGTTTTATATGTACCCGTAAATAATTTACTCTCTAATATATTCCACTAAAAGCTTTGTTTAACTTTTAATTATACTCTACTTAATTTTTTTTATTTACAAACTAAACTCTTACAGGAATAATAAGTCAATAAAAAAATATAAAACATCGAATACACTCGCGTAGTGCGAGCTTTCAACTAGTAATTTTAAAAAGCATGGAAAAGAAGAAGGTAAGGTGTACAAATTTTTTAATTTCTATTTTTTTTAAAAAAATTAAATGAGTTTGGGGGAAAAAAAAACGGTGGGAGTGAATAGTGTGATGGGGTAAATTAAACGAATGCAATTTATAAGTTCTAGAGGGGGTTAGCCATTGATTCTCATGAAAAAAGAAAAGGTGGATGACTGTATTTTTTCATTAAAAAAAGGAACTTTTTTGATAGAGTCTATTTTTCAGTATGATCTATTTTTTGAACTGTTAGATCTGATCAAAATTACATCAGTTTAAAAAAATATGTAGAATAAATAATTTTCGATATAAATTTAACGGTTGAAAGTAAAGAATTGTTAATAGTTTATTTTTTCTAATGCTGTTAGAAAAACTCCCGTCGAAAAAAGGAAAAAACTCCTTAGACCTTCTGTTCTTCATTTTCATACTTTTACAAACACTATAAAAAAACCTCACATCAAATGATTTCATTTTTTCCCTTAAAAAATATGATTTTTTTTTGTTGTTGCTGCAAATCATGGATTT